TTTTAAATCATATCATCACGTATTGTTTATTTTCTTACAGAAACGAATGCTTTCGACGGTATATTGATTTGAAATGTCGCGTGACGTCACTTCTATGTACTTTTTATACGTTGAAATGACGTTTTAGCCCCCACTCCTAAACTTTGATCAATATAATACAGTTTCTACGAAAAACAATTGAACAAAAAGTATTATGTGCTTGTGTAAAACTCAATTCACAGAAAACATAAATAAAATAAAAATGTCATACTATTTTATAACAAATTGATTTTAGTTGGAAGTGAATGTTTTTGTGTTGTAATATTGACTACGTTTTTTAGTCGAGTTTGCCTTTTGCATACATTGCCATATTTGTATAGGTACCCAGCAAATAGTTTTTTGAATTCTTAAACTGTACCACATTATTATTCGAATATCGCTTCATTCTAAATTCTCAGTAGTAGTACAAAGTTTGAATAGGGTAGTTTTTAGGGTAACAAAATTAAAAATCTAATTAGTCCGTCAGTTAGATAATGAAAAAATATTAGACACGTATTTTTTTATTTTCTCGTATTAAGTTGCAATACTTAGATAAAATGGCGCTAAGTTTAGGAGTGGGATATCGTTACGTCATAACGTTCTACAAAATGTGGCACGCTGTGACGTCACACGATATTTCAATTTAATATATCGTCGAAAGTATTTAAGTTTACGAGCAAAAAAAAATACGTGTCTAAAGTTTTAAATTAATGTACCAGACGGACATTAAAATAAAATTTAGGAAACTACCTTATTGTCCTACTTGATATTAAGACAATAGAATTGTGTCGACTTGACACAAATAACAGATGACAGAAGTCGCACATAGACGATCGAACTCAACATATGAGGACACATATCCTACATCGCACATGCGAAGTTTACATGCGAATTGACACGGATAGCAAATTCCAACGAACAACTGTTGGGCAGAAAGCCCGCCACGCACGATCACCTCGCTTGGTTGGAGAATGTTCCTTTTCTTAAGCAACTTTACTCACTGTTCCCTAAAGAATCACCCCCTATTACATGGGACTCAAAACATAACTGATAAACATATGTAACCTCTTTGGGTGTAAAAATTAGTGACGTCATGTTATTATGTTTCCAATCTTACTAATGCTAAAGACTCCGGCGCCCGCCACGGCGGCGGAATGTAGGTGGAATTTTTAAAACTCAATAGACCGCAGTTTTCTATAATCCCGCAGCCGCCGCGTTTGCGATTATTGCCCGCATATAAGGCGGTTGATTATCACAAGACGAGCGGGTAGTAAAACAATCAGTTCACCAATCGATCGCAGAGCGCCCGAGTGCGAGCCGCACCCGCTAGTAAAGCGGGAGTCGCAAACAATCGCAACCACAGTGGGCGTAAGACACGCTGTGAAAATTGCTTTGGTTTTTTACTTACATATTTGTATTTAACACAGGCCGAAGCTCCTACAAACATGAGTCCTAAGCCTAACATTATAAACGCGAAAGATTTGCTGTGAGTGAGCAATCACGTCTAAACGGCTGGGATGAGAAATTGAAACATGTGTTACATTGTAATCTGGAATATCAAGGACAACTTTTTATTCAAACCGTTGGCAGCAGCTAGTATCATTTAAGTCGCGGAGAACCTAACGGGTAACCGGGGCTCCGGCTCGACGTGCAGGAGAAGGAACGGGGTGGTTTTTAGTCAGTAAGAGTCTGACACTTCCTCCCGCCTCACCCAGGCGGGAGCAGACATTCGATGATTTTCCCCCCTTAAAAAAAAAAAGTATCATTTAAAGCATATTAAAATTTGTCAACGGTTCGAAAAATCATTTATATCATTAATACCTGTCTCCATTTTATTGGAATTCAGATTAATTAGTTCTGATACGTTTGCGTTGAAGTGAATTAAATGTTTATTGAAATTGATAAAACCTTTTAGTGCTTTGTATATGTGGAAGTATTACATGATTAATGGTGATTGATGAAAATACAAAAGTGGTTTTAAATATATAAATTGCTACGACTACTGGGCAACGTAACACAGGGTTCCCTTACAGAACTTATCAAGTGTGGGAGAGCCATGCTTCGGCACAAATGGGTTAGCTCGACCGGAGTGATACCACAGTCTCACAGAAAACTGACGTGAAACAACGCTTAGTTGTATTTCGTCGCGTGAATGATGTCAGTGGAGGCCCAATTACTTTCCTTCGCAATCTCTGAATCCCCAACAATCCTCTTTCAAGTTTCAAGACCACGACGCGGCGACTATCCCCGCGTCGCAAGTTGCGGAATGCTGCTTGTGAATATGAGCCTCTAGCATGGCTTGAAACTAGTCGAGTTCCTCGTAAAATAATTACATGAATAAGCCGAAAATCATAATACCTATCAACTATTGAAAAATACTCAAAAATGTTTTGCCCGGACCTAAAGGCAAATTAAAGAACAAATTTTTTTGGCAGTAGCACTAACAACTAAGTACTCGACACTAACAAAATAATCCGCAAATTGAAATCATCTTAAAAACTAAATGCTTTCTTCAAGCTGGTTTCCTTCAACACCAACATATAACACAACGTCTAAACTCATCACTTAACGAAAACTTCTTTTAAAAGATTCTCTCACTTAACTCGTACAATTTTGCGCGAGATGACAAGCGGTTAAGCCTTTTGTTCCTAAAGCATTATGCGCCATATTGCTTTTTTGTCCCGTCCTTTATTTAGTACGGGAAGTGAAAACTGTTTGTCTTGCGAACTTCAACTAATTGACTTCATTATCGTTTGGAAGTTCCTTTTCTTTTATGATATTTTATGGTCTATTGTTTTTAGTAATATTGTTTTGTTTTGTTTGACAAACTTGAACCTTATGTAACTGTTTGACGAGGAACTCGACTAGTTTCATGAGAAGCATAACGCTACACGCAACTTTGCCGCCGAGGCCATAAAGGGTTGCTGGGGCTCCAGCTTGAAGGGCAGGAGTAGGAAGTAGATTTTTAGTCAGTAAAAGTCTGACACTTTCTCCTGCTTTACCCAGGCGGGAAAAGTCATTCGATGAATTTCCCTTCTTAAAAAAAAAACACGCAACCTTCATTTATTACCTGCTGTTTTTTGGCTTACATTCATCTCGGTTCGACGACGAACTAGACTAGTGTCAAGTAACAGTAAGAGCATTCATGAGTGGGAGTAGCGCTACACATTAGCATGAATTGAAGCGGGTCGTATTCATCAAACTGTAACGCGAGAAAGCCAAAAACCATAATTTAGTCTCACGTCACACGAGTTTATTAAATCTTATGATCTGCAATCTCTAATACATAGTATAGTAGAGAATCGCTTTTAACGATGATGATGCAAATATTTTAGTTTAGCGGCCAGAAAGTTAACTTATATTTTCTGTCACATTTCTGTATTACATCTTCAAATTTGTTGCATTAACATAAAGCCGAAAATCCCATGAATAAATTTGACAGATCGAATTAGGTTGAACACCTGGCCATTGGACATGTTTTATATCTGCCAAACATAATAGGGTAGATGTCTAATTTTTATTTTAATGTCCGTTTGGTATATTATTTCAAATCATTACACACGTATTTTTTATTTTCTTATAGAAACGATTACTTTCGACGATATATTGATTTGAAATGTCGTGTGACGTCATTTCTATGTACATTTTATACGTAGAAATGACGTTTTTGCCCCCACTCCTAAACTATGATTCGTTTTATCTAAATATTGTTTTATTATACGACAAATTAAAAAAATACGTGTCTAATATTTTTTCATTGCCTAACTTACGGACTAATTAGACTTTTAATTTTCATACCCTGCCATCATCCCAGTTGTATTTTTTTTCCAATAAGGTGAAATTATAACTTTACTTATGGTTTCAAATTAATTAATTTCATCCCCATTTCCCAATCAATTCAGAAAATTAAATCGCCATAATTTAACCCCTGCAAATACAATACCAATCAGGAAAAAATTAATTACTCAAGCATTTGCATAACACATATTTGCATCTGACACCATGTATGAAAAATCATTTAATATGAAGCCCCGTGGAGGTAGCACAACACAAATAGGACCGGCAAACTTAATCCAAAATTAATTTCGCGGCATAATTAAAACTTTTGAACTGGCTTGCAAAATTGAAACCCTGTCATTTTGATGCTGGGAGAGTTATGGAAATTTGTTTTATGAATAAATATTTTCTATATTAACGTTTGTTTTTTACCTGTTATTGGTTTTTGTGAGTGAACATCGAAGGGATTTTTGTTTTATTTTTTCATCTTTGATAGGTTCGAAAGTAGTCTCATAATTATTGTACCGTCAAAAGGTGCGGTTGGATCGAGAAAAATTGAAGATCGAGTTTGACTTATGAATATTTAATCGAAGTTTTGTAAAAAAACTGTATTTTAACTGGTATAAAGTTTTCAATCATTTACATTTATTCAAATCGTATAATAGGCGTGTCGACAGGGTAAAAAAATCAAAAAAGTAATTAGTCCGTCATTAAGATCGCACGAAAATATCAGACACGTATTTTTTGTTTTATCAAATTAACAGAAGAATACGTAGTTGTTCCGCATTAAAGTTAGGGAGTGGGGGTGTTGACGTCACACTTACGGAGAAATCGTACCTAAGTGTGACGTCACGCGTCATTTTAACTCAAAATATCTACATGTTTTTTTGGATACGAGAAAAAAGAAAAAATACGTGTCGAAGATTTTTAAAATATCTAAAAGACGGACAAAAAATTAAAAAATAGTCGCCATGCCTATTGTGGGTCTAGACGGGATTCTCTTCACAATATCGGCAAACAGGTCTTGTAAATTACTTCGGGAGACAAATAATATTGTATTAGTTTCGGAATTGCTTTTAAATATATATTAATTTACAGTGACCTGAAACCTTAAAGTATATATATATATACGCCCGAAGAAAATGCAGTTTTATTCCCTAACAATAAGAAACATCTTTGTTTGTCACCAATATTTAGTAACTCACCAATATTTAAGGCTGATACAGATGCGAAGAACATCAACACTTTTCCAAGCATTATGAATGCTTCTGAAACAAACAAACATAATATTAGTTACATTAACATTGAGAAAAATGCATATTCAATACAATAAACCTGCACTACAAAAAATATTTACATATACAATAAGTTATTGTAAACATAAAAAAAAATCCCCTCTCTTTTCTAAATGTTACATTCTTTTTCCATCAGCTTTTTTAGTCTCGTATACGAAGCGTCTTACTGTTTTATATCTTACTGTCATAAATAGAGGACATTTCCGAACTTTTGTAACGATAATTCTCAATAGTTAAAAGTTCGTAAATATTTTGCTTGACTCAAGAACTGAAACTGTTCAATCAGCGAACATTATCATTACGAAGTAGACCACCCATAATAATATAGGTAAGGTCGTTATATCACTCGAGCGTACACCTCAAAGAGCCATCAGACCATCACAGATGGGGCCCAACAGGGCTGATGCCGATTCGGAGCTGCGGAGAACGTAACGGGTTACCGGGGCTCCGGTTCGAAGTGCAGGAGTAGGAACGGGGTGGTTTTTAATCAGTAAGAGTCTGACACTCCCTCCCACCTCAGCCAGGCGGGAGAAGTAATTCGATGATTTTCCCTCCTTAACAAAAGGTCGTTATTTATACTTATATTATAAAGCTGAATAGTTTGTTTTTTTGTTTGTTTGTTACGCGCTAATCTCCGAAACTACTGGTCTGATTTGAAAAATTCTTGCTGTGTTGGATAGCCCATTTATCGAGGAAGGCTATAGGCTATACCATATCACGCTACGATTAATAGGCGCCGAGCAGAGCGAGTAAAACCGCGCGGAAGAAGCTAGTGTCAATTAAAACCACAAACAAAGTCAATAACCAGACTACTTTCAATATGTTTTTATAATAACTATATTATAGTGAGACATACTAGATTAAGTAAAATCGCGAGTTACTCACGTGAATATACTGAGAAAAGCTCTACTATTTTCGAACCACAGAGGGGTTCTTCCTCATGAGCAGCGTGCGCGGTCGCGGCGATGTCGCGCAGCTCACTGAGTGCAGTCAGACGCCGAGCAGCCCAGTAGACCTTTTCTCAGTATATTAACGTGAATAACCCGCGATTTTACCTTCAATATGATACAAAATATTGCTAAGCATAGCCTCCATCTCATATGAACCTCCACAATATAACTGTTCGCGTTCGAAGCTCTCATTGTTACCAGCACACCTGAATATTAACATGTAAGCGGCCATTTTCCATTCTAGTTACCAACCTAGATCTATTGTTTTCGTGTAGTATATTTGATGGACTGAATTTTGTAGGGGCTTAGAGAATATTGGAAAATGGTTTACTATGGTTTGCTAGTCCTTTTGATTCAGATCGTGATGTTGAAGGTGCGTGAAGCCCTAGATTAATTTTAATCTTAAGTTGTATATAGGTATTTAATTTAGTAATAGTTAGTTTTAATTTTATTTAAGTTTTTATTTAACTCGTCGAGTACCGTCATTATAGACACAATTATAGAACAATAGGTTGCGGTCACCGGTGACCGCTTGGTGTTTGACAGTTTAAATACCTAAATGATTTTCGGTCCTAGAAGACTAGATATTTGGTAATACTAAGGGATCATATTTGACGGAGATGCAGACTGCCTCGTTAGCCGAGTGGTCGCAAGTGCGACTGCCGGGCAAGGGGTCTCGGGTTCGATTCCCCGGACGGACAAAGTATTACTGAGTTTTTAAAAAGAATCACAGTAGCAGCACGGAGTCTGAAATTGTGCCCGGTATATGGCTATAGGCTCACCCCCTATTACATAAAACTCATAACATAAATAGTGAAAGTGGGTGTTATTTCTGTGTGCACCTCTGCCTACCCCTTCGGGGATAAAAGGCGTGATGTTATGTTATGCTATGTCATATTTGACAGAGTACAAAAAATAGTACTCTATTTTATCCTACCAATATTATAAATGCGAAAGTTGATAGACGTTTGTTTTTCTATACTTGCTAGGTCGACGTTTGACCACCATCTCGCCTGGATTATTACTCCTTCACGTCAAAACGGCTGAAAAGATCGGGATGAAACTTGAAAAAGGAGTAGATTATGGTTTGAAATAACACTGCAATAAGACTGCCTCGTTGGCCGAGTGGTCGCAAGTGGGACGGCCGGGCAAGGGGTCTCGGTTTCGATTCCCGGGTCGGGCATAGTATTACAGGGGTTTTTAAAAAAAATCTCAGTAGTAGCACTGAGTCTGGAATTGTGCCCGGTATATGGCAATAGGCTCACCCCTTATTACATGGGACTCATAACATAAATAGTGAAAAGTGGGTGTTACATTGTACAGTGGCGTAATGTGCTCCTCTGCCTGCCCTTATGTTGAAATAAGACATACAATACTTTTTATACCACTGTGGGCAAAGCCGCTGGTAGAACCTGATATTTTTAAACTGTAATCACCTACCTGTCTACTAAGCATAGAGATTATGTAAGGGGGATAATAGGGGGATTAATAATCCAATAGTAGACGGTTACGAGCTGCTGAAGATAATCGTGTTTGATTTTATAATAATTACTAGCTGAGCCTGCGACTTCGTCCGCATGGAATAGTGATTCACAACTCCTCCCCCTAGTTGATAGCATAATAATATGTAGTGTATATGTTGACCTGACCTGTTAGTAATATTCATGCAAAATTTGAAGTAAATCCATGCAGGACTTCTTGAGATTATCCCGGACATATATACAGACAAATAGACAAACATTTTAAAAACTATATTTTTGGTTTCGGTTATCGACTGTAGATCACGCCCAAAGCATTATTAAAAAGAATACTCGATGTACACTTTTCAGTTTCCTACGATTTTATTATATATATAGATATAGTACACTAGCAGCCCGTCCGGGCTTCGCACGGGGTAGACAATTATTTATTTTTGGAAATTTGGATTGTTGTAGTGACATAACTACAATAGTTGGACATATGCTACCGCGGAGTTTTTTGTAGACATTATGATGTTCTTCAATATTGTTGTACATTATTTTGTTCTATCGCTAATAGTTTCGGCAGCGCATTCGACGAAAGACATTTTAAGACTCATTTTTCTACACCTTCGGTTACATTGTTCAAATTTTACCAAGGATCCCTAATTTTTTTCAAAATGAAATGTAGCCTATGTCAAATTGGAAGAATGTATCATTCTATTGGTGAAAGAATTTTTTAAATCGGCCCAGTACTTCTTGAGCCTATTCATTACAAACATACAAAAATCTTTCCTCTTTATAATATTAGTATAGATATAGATAAGTCATACTTCATCAGTGATATTATTCCCTCCAGTAAAGAATGTGTAACATCGAGCACAATAAAGCCGTTCTTGAGATAAAACATCCAAACCTTAATGACACAAACAGCGGTTTGGCTTCATTCATCAAACAAATTAGAGTAGACCGCATCACAAATTAAATAAGCGAACGGGAGAAAGAGGGTGTGTTAGTGGTATTATCTATTATTGACATCGAAATAGAATAATATTAATGTTTAAATAGTAAATATAAAATCTATATTGTTATTTTATTGTACTTCCTGAACACAACTTAAGTTTTCGTTTGTCGTCACACGTTGCGGTAGTGCATTCTGTCTGTTCTCTGTAAAAACGTACTGTTAAAACTTTCAACTAGTTTATTATTCTGCAACAATTAGTTACAATACAATAACTTGACACTTGAATATTTGAAATATTGAGAGAACCAGCATGGGAGGGAACAATAAATGAACCCGTGTTTGCGCACACTAGTGCACTATAATATCTCCTGCATAACTATGCAAGACATGTCAACTGGCTAGTCTAGTTAGACTCGCCTATAAGCGAAATTGGTTGGCAGACTTTTACTTTTTTTTATTTTCTTTGAAATATTTATCACCACTGGAATACGAAGAAGCTTGTAGATTACTCCAACTTTATGCTTAAATGTCATTGAGCACTTTCTCAAAGCAGTTACATCTCGAAATAAGCAATCCAAAAAGATTACCACCATCCTTTTGAAGTCAAAAGCCCCCCAAAATTCTTCCAACAGATCACAAGACGGTATAGTTACACCGACAGCAAATATTTAAGACACAAAATTCCTTCAAATGACTCTCAAACTTTGAAGATTAGCAGGCGATACCTTGCAAATTCCATTGTCTCCGAAGATTTTGTCAGAAAACAGAATACCTTTTTGGTAGCATCTAAAGGGAAATCCGTAAAGCTTAACTTTTCCAATATAACGTTGGATATCAAAGTAAACAAATGCTACAGTAAAAAATCTTGTACTTGAAAAAGTTAGAGCACGTCTTAAGCTTCTAAAGAAATACTTAACACGCACTTAAGGCCGCTTCCCCAAGACATCACGGTAAGTTGGTCCAACACTTGATATAACTTGAGTTAATGGCAACAGGACTTTTTACTCTGATGGAAAAAATTCTAGGAAATATTTTCTTGGCTTAGAAATTATTGGATGAAGAGCCGTCTGCGAGGAACTTTGATACAAAAGAAAGTATTATATTTTATTATATATCTGTGAAAGTCCTGCTAATTATTGGAGCGAGAAATGGATGGAACGTGTCTTCTTATCGCTTGAAAAGTTCACGTCATTATGGTTGTTGACTCAATATTTTCTTCCTAATTACTATTTCTGTCTATTTTTGCTTGGAGTCAATCTATACTTCTATACTAGGATTATAAAGAGGAAAGATTTGTACCTAATTTTGTATGTTTGTAATGAATAGGCTCAAAAAGTACTGGGCCGATTTAAAAAATTCTTTCACCAATAGAATGCTACATTCTTCCAATTAGACATAGGCTACATTTAATTTTGAAAATAATTAGGGATCCTTGGTAAAACTTGAACAATGTAACCGAAGGTGTAGAAAAATGAATCTTAAAATGTCTTTCGTCGAATGCGCTGCCGAAACTATTAGCGATAGAACAAAATAATGTACAACAATATTGAAGAACATCATAATGTCTACAAAAAACTCTGCGGTAGCATATGTCAGACTATT